CGGGCTGCTAAATTATCGGCTTATAATGGGAAATTTATGTTATTATGTATTATTCCAAAATGAAAGTACAGCTGATAAATAGCTTTAACATTACCAAGCCAGTCTGCTTTCATTGACTTTAAGAGAGCACCATCTACACACCCTGACACAGCAGGTGGTGTTATAACTTTCAAGTTGGTTTGTGAGCCGCCAATTAACACAAAGACATAGAAGAAGGACAAGCGCAGCGCTTACGCTGACTGGAGAGCCAAAAACAGATCAGCAAACTTCTTGCTGCTGTTTAACAGGTTAGACGCAGCGCTGAAGGACCGTCTCCAGAGCTGCTATCCTCACTACCAATGCTCAGTGTCTGACCAGTTAGCACAAGCTAACAGCAGCAACGGCTCACAACACCAAGCCTTTACACATTCCCAACAAACTTACACCAAAAAGGCTCGACCCTGTGGTTTAACCCATTACTAACTATTTTGGTACCACTAGGTGTGTGATGCTACAGTTAGCCCTGTCACTATGTGTGTCCGGGCGGACTCTTACCAACTGTCCCCAGCACAGAGCTCACACCACCCGCAGCAGTAGTCTCGTCTCTTTACTTTACTTTCTGTTTCAATTACTAGTGTATAACATGTTTACGAGTCTGTTTTGAGAGATTATGTCAAAGCATTTAATTAAGATATTTCAGGCAAGATGCTCCATAAAAAAACAAAGTATATTTGGGATGTTTTTGATATACTTTGCAAGAAAAAAAAAAGAAATTAACATTGAAAGAGTCAACACTTTGTTTTTGTTCTGTTGCCAATGGTGATGTCAACTAGATATGGTTAGGTCAGGGCCACAGAATATTGAATCATCCATATTTTCTCACTTTCCTCTTACTCTCAGGTGTGCATGAACTACAGGTTAAACTTCTTTTTAAAAAATAAAAAGCGAAAAATTCAGTTATCTTACTGATATCAGCCAAGAGAAGCAGGTAATTATTGGTCATCAGTATGGGCTAAAAATAAACTGTATCCTGCATACCTATTTTAAATATAGCAGACAACATCAGGTGCTCAAAACTCTGGCTACATCTTTTTGAAACTACTGACTCTTGTCGATATGAAGCAGTGAGTGCTTTCTAAAAGGCAAAGACTGTCAGTACCAAATTAGACCTAAATTCAACTGCATAAAAAATACAAGTTAGCCACCAAGCTAACTTGGCAGACACCAGGTGGTTTTCAGCTGTTCAGTCCAAGTCTGCCTTCTTTTCACAAGGTGTCTCAGGTTCACAATGCCAGTCAAGGCCAGTCTACTTGACAAGTTTGTCAATAGAGAACAGGTCACAGTCATGTCAGAGTCAACAAGAATTGTGAATGAATGTTTAAGACTATGATCTTGGTGCACTCTGGATGGTACTTGACTGAAAGTAACATGACTGAACTCTTTCACTGCAAAGAAGCAACCGCATTTATTACAGCTTCAACCAAAGCAGATGTGCCAATTCTGTTACTGTTGCCTGACTTTTGATGGAGATTGGTGAGTGGAGATATGTAGGGGAAACAAACTAAAGTCAAAAATACCTCCTCATCTATGACTGTTCAGCATCCTGGATGCAGATCCAAGTGTTGTCTTTGTTATCTACATATTGTGTTCTGTTCCCCCCCCCCCAAATAATTACCAAGAATGAATTAATTAATCAAACAAGGAGGTGACTTAAAGTATGATTTATAAGTACAATAGGAATCGATAATACCTAAACAATACCTGAGTGCAGGTTCTGCTACATCAACATATTCATATGTGTATGTAAATTGTAAATCTTTGCCCTCCAAGTAAAAAGAGTAGAGGTGCCATTTTACGTGGCAGAGGCCAAATATACAATGAGTGAGCCGACTCTTTGGACCGTCATTTTGTGACTTGGCTGAACAGAAAAGATGAGATGTCATTAGGATCTGTCAGACACAGCTCAGCAGATGACAGTGAATGATCGATGGGGTTTACCCATTGTACTCTGCTTCACGTCGCCCTCCTCCCCAGCCTCCTCCTGCGGGATAACTTTGTGACTGTAATATTAAAAACTGTGCACAAGGCTGAGACGAGCTAAAGCAACCCCAACCAAACAAAATCTTTCAGAATTTCTAAGCTCAGAGATGCTTACGCAAACAGCGCAGCAAAATCCATCTTTCTGACAGAATCATTTCCAAAGCCCGAAGCTCCAACTGGGCTCCTGGATGCACTTCTGAGCTGCGCCCGCCTGGGAGTGAGAGTGTCAGCATGTGTGTGTGTCTGTGTGTGTGTAAGAAGGGTACTGAGAAAGAGAGGATAAAGTATGACTCATTCAATACAGAATATGAACTGCGTGTGTCTGTGGCTAAACCAGTCTTCAGCTTTCTTTAAGCTACTCTATAGAATATGAGTGTTTAGTCATACACCCTTCACTGGTTTCCCCAAATACCTATGTGACTGCGTGTGTGTGTGTGTGTGTGTGTGTGTGTGTGTGTGTGTGTGTGCGCGCGTGCCTAAAGAGAGATTAATGGTGTAGACGTCTTTAAGTATTCCTCTCATTTCTCAATGAATCTGTCTGAGACACCAATTCGCACAAGCACTCTCTGTGTATGTGTGTGTGTGTGTGTGTGTGTGTGTGTGTGTGGCATTTCTCTCCTAACAACAACAGACTGCGGTACGAGTTTAAATCAAAGGATTATAACCCTGCGGCAATTGGACTGAATGAACTGGACCTTATGGTTACAGACCGGTGAGTTGGAACAGAGTGTAGGGATGTTACTCTGGAACTCACTAATACACTCACTCTCTCACACACACAAACACACACAAGTCCCTGTAATTCTTTCCTCATGAGGTCTTTTCATTGATTAAATTCACTCTTTTTTCACGAACAGAACAAACCTGGTCATGTCCCTCAATCCTAATTCTGATCTTACAGCTAAACAAGGGTTCCTCATCCCTTTGAAGTCTGATATTCATTCTGCAGTGTAACATTTTTTAGTTGGACTATGCCTTCTTGTTATCCCTTTTATTCAGCCTGCAATTAACATTGTTAAACAGGTTCACAGAGAACGATATTCTCCATATTTAGAATATAAAAAAATATGTTGAACTAATTCACTGCCACCTTAATTTACCAGCTTGTGCGTTTAATCAGACCAGTTGTAACTACTGCTAGCATGTTAGCTCAGTTAGCTGAGCTAGCCAAGTTGTTAGCCAACATTACAGACCATTATTCAGAGTGAATAAGATGCTTTTTATCTTAAATGTTTGCTTACAAGTAGCAGGCGAGTAACAAAACACTTGTCATAATAGCATGAAGGGTTGGTTTGGAGCAAGGCAGGGTTCCAAACATTTGGGTAGCTAATATACGGTAGCTAGTTGGCAAATATCACCTAGCAGTACAGTCCAGGCTGTCTATAACAAAGACTGTAAATAAAGATGGACGACATGACAGCTCCCCAAAGTGAGGCCAGAACATCAAACACATTTTTGTTGGTTTGGTTTGTGTCATTTTAGTAAGTTTGGGTAGTTTGATTAACATCTGTGTGTATAATTTGGCATGCTCACGATTAATACCACTGCTTGCGACTGGTCTGACGGTTGTAGGGGCAGAAACTCAATACCGCGGATATCGCTATTGCTCAGACTCTGACTCCAAATGATGTCACCAGTGCAAGATGGTGCAGCAGTATCCAGGATATTTTGACTTTATTTTTGAACAGTGGGAGTTTGTGGAGATGCATTTGCCATCTTTTTCAGTCTGTGGTCTAGAAATACTGCATGATAAACTCACCACTCTACAACAGCAGTTTAAAGGAATAGCTCAACAGTTCAACAGATGTGAAGATTGATACAAATCTGTGTTTTGAGCACAAAGCTGGATTTCAGATGTGGTTAACATAGCTCAGCATAAAAAGTGGAAGCAGGGGAAAATGCTAGTCTGGCTCTGTCCAAAGTCTAACAACACCTCTTAAGCTAAAAGAAATGAAAAGTGCTTTTGAATTTGTCCATTTAACTTGTATCTAAGAAAACAGTCATTCTTCAGAGCAACAGACCTTTGAATCGCTCCACAAAAATCGGAGATTTGGTCTTACTCAGAGGTTTGGAAGTTTTATAAATATCACTAACATTATTCGCAGAAATATCATGCTGGGTCCAAACCCTAATAATGAGAAACTTAAATGCCTTAAACCCAAGTCCCCTTGTAGAAATCTGTTATTTATGTCGGCCTCTTTGTAACTGCTTGGGCTGTGGATAAAACATCACACTGTGGTTTTGATAGAAATGTGTTGTTACAAAAACGTGTGAGAACAGTACTGGCTTGTCAAATGGTCAAGTTTTGACACTCAAAAAGAGTGGATGAGATGTTACATGATGAAGTTTTGTGGTGTTTTCAGTGGCTGAACAATGAACAATGGATCTGATAATGTTCCAAATGGTTCAGGATTCTGAAACTGAAAAAAAAAATGGTGGTGTCGAAATGGTAATGTTACAATAACAGTTTCACATTTCAGAACTTGTTATCATCAATTTACTCATTTATTACATGCATTATTAAAATGATTATTTCAAATTGCCTTTATTGTGGCTTGGGATAAATTGCCTTTTCTCAAAATGCAATATTAAAAAGAAATTAATTTATTGTTCAGCCACAATAAAAAAGAACATCTGATTGCATGTCTGTACTCTGTTATCAGTGGTCCTCTACTCTCCCATGTCTATGCAGCAACACTTCCTAATAACTCATCTGTTCTTCTGAAATCTTTGTGCTGCTCTGCCCTGGAGTCAGTAGAAGTTATAATCAACCAGTTACAATATCCTTCTTTCTCCAAGATGTCAACGCTTGCAGTGACAGAGACAAAAGATTCTCATTTCCTGCGTCACCACAGTGTATTTAATCAAGTTTGGATTAAAATTTTGTTTGGAAAATTTGTTTGGAAAAGGCCCAATGAGCCATAAGTCATTACAGAGAATTAAAAATGTTATGTACAAAATAAACCTTGTGAACTGCTTACCTGTAAATGGGATCCTGCATCACCATCATCTTGCTCTCATCCCACGTCCACTCCTTTTTCTGTTGAAATTTTAAAACAAAAAACAAACAAACTGTAAAGTGACACTGAATTTAAGCTTTTTCATACATACAGGTTTAGACTGAAGTGAGGAAATATTCCTTAACTGGACAATAGAACATTAAACCAAAAGTGTATCTTATTCATATGAAATTTTATTTAATAAACACTTATGTCTCTCATTTCACAATCGAGAGTGAACTGCATCAGAGTTTGTCTACTGGTGTAGATATTATTAGAACATCTCAGTCTTTGAGACATTTATTTATATTTTCCTTTTGTCTGTCCTTTTGTTTAAATCTACCTTCCAGTTTAATGTCATAATCAAAATGTCAACACATGAGCACGGAGAAATTACGATATTGATTTCAATCTCCACAGAGCTTTGTTGACTCAGTCATTCAATCACTGCCATCTCCAGTCTTTCATTGGCTCCGACGCACTCAAAGATGTAAATAGATTGCTGACCGTCACACTTGACATTTCAGCTTTCAGGCCAGGGAGCCAAACGAGATGAGAAAACAGGTGGAAGCAAACATCCATCTATCGACCGGCCTTTTATTCTAGCCCGGCAGTTAATTTGACTTTGATCCTTTGATGATGGATTTAATATGCACCTTATCAGACAATACAACACAGGAAAGGACATTCATTTAAATCACTTCCATCACATCTCTCTCTCTTGGTTTGTTTTCAGACAAGAAAAGTAGAAGTTTTCATGGCTCTATAATTTTGGACCTGATCCAAAATGGAGCAATGGAAAGCACACCAGGATGCAATGAATTCAGTCACAACAGTCAGAGCGGATCTTAACTAGGGTTGGGTATTGTTCAAAAACTCGTGATACCAGTACTAATACCAATACCCTTAAAGTGATACCTATGCCAACAGAATATGTCATTTACTAGCTTTTTTGGGAAGCATTTACTTTAGTAAAATTCTACCCGATGCCACTGGCGTGTAGTAAGTATAGCCATATTTTCAAACATTTTGGTGGCATCTCGGCACTTTGAACTGCCAAATCCATCAAATACAACTTGCTCAACTTCACCAGACTGTATGAGTTGTAGTTACTGTGGTAGTGGGCCAAGCACACATTGCATCTATTGAAAAATACTTTATATACAAGTAGTCCTTTTAAAAAAAAAATTAATTCATAATTTCACTGGGGTATATGCAGTGATGGGACTAACGGCGCTACTTTTTTCAGTAACCAAGAGTAATCAAAAAGTTACTGTCTCCCCCATAATAACGCTGTTACCGCAACTCACAATAAAATGCGCCGTTACTCGGCTTTAGTTGAGTTCACTGAAGCGGCTTTCACCAAAGCAAGCTCCTTCTCAGCAGAGTACTAAAGTTTTTCTTCTTTGGTGAGGGCAGGTGAGGGAGAAGCATAAGTGATGATGATTAGCTTAGGGAGAGTAAAATTTCATCATAAACCAATCAGAGGCAGAGTAGGGCGGGTATTCACAAGCACACAAACAGGGTTGTCAGGTCTGCTTATTAGCCGCAACTTTGAGCTTGTTTTCTTGTGAAGTCGCTTACAAATATTGGTAGTCGCAGGTTGTAGTTTTTTGGGCTTGTTTCTAAAGTGGAGTTGCTTATTTGGGCTAGCTCTCTTAACGTCGCCTTTCTCTATATATATCTGTCTAATGTGTAAGTTAAACGCATGATAGTATGCCAGACTGCAGGATGTTTCCACAGCTCTCCTCCCTCCGCCCCTCTCCTTCTCCGCATACACACAGGTGACGGTCAGTCAATGAGACTTTTCACATTTAAATTGTGCGATTAATTGAGGTTCTTACACACACACGCACAACAGTGCAGTGTAGTGTAGATAAGTGTACAATGTTTTATGATAATGATTTATTCTATTAAGCGTCAATTTCATTCATTTAACATATTCAATGTTGAGTTTCATTACATACAGTTCCATTAAGGTGGGGTGACATATTTGATGTGTTTTATAAAAAAGTAACACTATAGTTACCTTTCCAGGTAATTAGTTACTTTTATAGTGCAGTAACTCAGTTACTAACTCAGTTACTTTTTGGGGAAAATAACTTGTAACTATAACTAATTACTTTTTTAATGTAACATTTCCAACACTGGGTATATGATACATGACAGTATATGCTAACCCTTGGCCCAAGCTCCCCAGCTTTTACATTAATAAATACACAGAATTACAACATTCCAATAAAGTTATATTATTACACCTTTTTTTCTTTATTAAGGGACATACAACTATGCACCTTCATCCTTCATCCACTCCACAGACACAAAATAAAACTCACCAAAACCTTCTTTGTTAGTCTTGTTAGTCATTTAGTTAGTTAGTCCACTGTTACAACAATCACCCACTCTGGTTTGGTCAAAATAATCCCTTAATTCCAAGAATTACATGCAAAAATATGCCTTTTTCCCTACGATCTCTGTGCTGTTGCTAGCCGGAGTTCTGTGACTTTGTCCCGACAACCATTGCAGAGTGACCTCTGGTGGCGCATGTTGTGCACTACATATAATGAGTCTGGTAGAAAGAGAATTGCCTGTTCTTTTTTGAGAGTGTTGACAATTATAGTGTCGGGATTTTTTAATACCCTGATTCACCATACTACTGGGTTATGGCCAAAGCCTAATGTGGATTCAAAAAGTATCATATGCAGGTATCGTCTGATGACAGAAGTTTCAATACTTCTTAACACTGGGTTGTTTGAGTCAGTACCTTAAAAGGTACCGAGTACAGATAGCCAACCCTACTCTTGATGGACCACGACCCAGTTGTTCAGAAGCAATCTGATTGGACTGTGATCGAATTGAATCAAATCTTGAAAATGGGTTGTTCAAAATAACAAATGATCCTCAAATTGGATTTAATCACGTAGTCCAGTTTTGGGTTTGACCTGGATCAATCCCACAGTATGTGTTGTTCAGAACTTTTTAGATTGGAATACTTTTGATCTAAAAAAAAAAAAACATAGGACACATAGAATAATAAAGTGGGAGGAAACACTGGTTCCTTACCTTTCCCCATTTAAAATTTCAATTTAAATATTTTCTTTAATGGTATCTTTAACTCACTGAACGTTGTGCTTAAGATGGCAGACAGGCAAAACTACAATACCCATGAACCTTGGCTGTCAGATAGGGTAATGGAAGTAATATTCAACATATTCTTAACATCATGTACCATCCACATCCATTACTGTTCACACACAAAAGAAAGCACATACCTACGTAACACAGCATTTATATTGGTGTAATGAATAGGGTGCTCCTTTGAGGAACACTTAGACAACTCCATTAAGCCTCCATTTAATGAGACACTAATGTATATTTGTGAGGTACATCTGCTTGTAATCACAAGTTAAGGTCAATGCATCTCCCTTTGTTACATACAAGCAATAGAGAAATCCTCAATATCCAAATCAGCCATTTTGTATGTAAATTAGCTGATTGGCTAATATATACTAATTATAGTCTTTCATGACTGTGTGGGGAAGCCAGACCTTTTCAACAGATGTCCTTCTTCAAGCTGCAGCACTAAAATAAAAATTATTGAGATCATGAATTCTAATAGATGCTTATTAAAATGTCGCGTTCAATCCATTTAAATTCATTACATTTGACATTTTTAGCGGAAACCTAGCTAATGTAGCAGCTTTGTGCTGAATTCAAAGGGGGCTTTTATCTGCATCTCAACTCCATACTCAATCCAAAAATATCAATAAGTCATCAGGGGTCTATTCATTTCCTGTGATGAGGAAATGTGACTTCTGAGTGGATGGTTGTCACAGCCGTCAGTTGTCAAGAGGCAGTCAGATTTTTCAGCTCTTCCCACCAATATTCAAGCTGATAAAACAATTCAACAAGAATCTCTGGCCCTACACATACAGTATAATCTGTCTGAACAGAGCAACAGTTAAAAAACAAGATGAAGGTTGACAATCACTTCTGTTATATTAAATATTAAGTATATTTTAGAGTCCAGCAGAACAGCAGGAGCCTTGAAAAACAGTGAATGGTTTCATGTCTGGATCAATGAATTGAGATGAAAAAGTAAATGAGTGGTGAGGAGAATGGACGGCACTACTAAGTGACTTTCCTTTGTTTCCATCCACCTGTCAGACTCTCTGTGATTCTAGGCAGGTGAAGTCGACTCCAGTCTGTCTCTGTGGATTACGGCTGTCACCACACCTCGAAACACAGATCCACTTGTCTCTAGTCTCCGCACTCCCCAATTCCATGTTTTTTTTCTTCGCTCTTTTCTCATCTTTTAACTCTTTTATCCCATCTCTTTACTCTTCAGCATCTGTTCCTCTTTTCTTCTACAACTTTCCCAGTACTTTTCGATTCCTCTCAGGCCCTTTGTCTGCCCTCACAATGTCTCCATTCTCACCTCTGCCTGCCGTCTAATCAAGATGAGGATCGATCACCACCCCCTGCCATATACAAGATGCAGGAAATGCATCTGGACTGCTTCTTTAAAGTGCCTGTTTTAGCACCAAATATCCCCAAGGCATGATTAAAATGCAGGTTTTTTTAAGGTGCACATGTGTAAAACAGCTGAGTAAGAAAACAAACCAACCAAAGTATAATCTATACACTGTTCAACAGGCTCAGCAGCTTCATCTTTTGTAATAAGAGATGATATATCATCAAACACAAACCAAGAACGCAGATCAGCATGCAGAGTCTTTTTTCAGTCTATTCCCTGTCTATATAGATACATAACAAAATAGCCAGAGGCACCTGGAGTCATGACAGTCCAGTAAACTGTGGTAACTGTTGTTACTCAAGATAGCTGATGTAGTTAGCTAGCACAAAAATACTTAATATTCCATGTATCACCAGGGTATACCAGTATATATCAGTATATATATATCTATCTATATATATCTATCTATCTATACAGTACAGGCCAAAAGTTTGGACACACCTTCTCATTCAATGCGTTTTCTTTATTTTCATGACTATTTACATTGTAGATTCTCACTGAAGGCATCAAAACTATGAATGAACACATGTGGAGTTATGTACTTAACAAAAAAATGTGAAATAACTGAAAACATGTTTTATATTCTAGTTTCTTCAAAATAGCCACCCTTTGCTCTGATTACTGCTTTGCACACTCTTGGCATTCTCTTGATGAGCTTCAAGAGGTAGTCACCTGAAATGGTTTTCCAACAGTCTTGAAGGAGTTCCCAGAGGTGTTTAGCACTTGTTGGCCCCTTTGCCTTCACTCTGCGGTCCAGCTCACCCCAAACCATCTGGATTGGGTTCAGGTCCGGTGACTGTGGAGGCCAGGTCATCTGCCGCAGCACTCCATCACTCTCCTTCTTGGTCAAATAGCCCTTACACAGCCTGGAGGTGTGTTTGGGGTCATTGTCCTGTTGAAAAATAAATGATCGTCCAACTAAACGCAAACCGGATGGGATGGCATGTCGCTGCAGGATGCTGTGGTAGCCATGCTGGTTCAGTGTGCCTTCAATTTTGAATAAATCCCCAATAGTGTCACCAGCAAAACACCCCCACACCATCACACCTCCTCCTCCATGCTTCACAGTGGGAACCAGGCATGTGGAATCCATCCGTTCACCTTTTCTGCGTCTCACAAAGACACGGCGGTTGGAACCAAAGATCTCAAATTTGGACTCATCAGACCAAAGCACAGATTTCCACTGGTCTAATGTCCATTCCTTGTGTTTCTTGGCCCAAACAAATCTCTTCTGCTTGTTGCCTCTCCTTAGCAGTGGTTTCCTAGCAGCTATTTGACCATGAAGGCCTGATTCGCGCAGTCTCCTCTTAACAGTTGTTCTAGAGATGGGTCTGCTGCTAGAACTCTGTGTGGCATTCATCTGGTCTCTGATCTGAGCTGCTGTTAACTTGCGATTTCTGAGGCTGGTGACTCGGATGAACTTATCCTCAGAAGCAGAGGTGACTCTTGGTCTTCCTTTCCTGGGTCAGTCCTCATGTGTGCCAGTTTCGTTGTAGCGCTTGATGGTTTTTGCGACTCCACTTGGGGACACATTTAAAGTTTTTGCAATTTTCTGGACTGACTGACCTTCATTTCTTAAAGTAATGATGGCCACTCGTTTTTCTTTAGTTAGCTGATTGGTTCTTGCCATAATATGAATTTTAACAGTTGTCCAATAGGGCTGTCGGCTGTGTATTAACCTGACTTCTGCACAATACAACTGATGGTCCCAACCCCATTGATAAAGCAAGAAATTCCACTAATTAACCCTGATAAGGCACACCTGTGAAGTGGAAACCATTTCAGGTGACTACCTCTTGAAGCTCATGGAGAGAATGCCAAGAGTGTGCAAAGCAGTAATCAGAGCAAAGGGTGGCTATTTTGAAGAAACTAGAATATAAAACATGTTTTCAGTTATTTCACCTTTTTTTGTTAAGTACATAACTCCACATGTGTTCATTCATAGTTTTGATGCCTTCAGTGAGAATCTACAATGTAAATAGTCATGAAAATAAAGAAAACGCATTGAATGAGAAGGTGTCCAAACTTTTGGCCTGTACTGTATATACATATATATATATATGGAGGTGGTAATGTACTGCTGTATCATTCTTTCTAGGAGTAGATAAAAAACAAAAACAAAAAACAAACAAAAAAAATCAACCTGAATGCTTCACACACATTTTCCCCACCGGCAGCACAGAAGATCTACTCAATCAGCACAGTTTCAGATGAATGTCTCCCCTTCTGTTCTTGAGTTATGACATATTAGCCAGAGAAGGGTTCTTGCAAAACATTATGATGTCTCTATGAAATTGACCGTTGTTCTTTAGAATATATAATGTCATTTGTTCATAATTTTATCCAATTAGGCAAAAGTTTAAAATTATATAATCAGCAAAGGAATTATTGAGTTACAACCAAAAACATGTTTTAAGAGGTCACAGTGATCTTGAACTTTGACCGTTAACCACCACATTCTAATAAGTTCAGTCTTGAGTCCAAGCAGATGTTTGTGCCAAATTTAAGGAAATTCCCTTAAGGCGTCCTAAGATATCGCATTCACAAGAATGAGAATGACGCAAGGTCACAGTGACACTGACGTTTGACCTACAAGTTCTAAACATTTTGTCACTGAGTCATAGTGGATGTCTGTGCTAAATTTGAAAAGATTCCTTCAAGGGGTTCTTGACATATCATGTTCACAAAAATGTGACTGACGACGTCACAGTGACCTTGACCTTTGACCACTAATCTTAATCAATTCATTGTTAGGTCCAAGGAGACAGATCGGAAGAAATGCTCTCAAAGCATTCTTGGGATATCGCATTCACGAGACTGAGATGCAAGGTCACAGTGACCTTGACCATTGATCATCGCAATGTATTTAGTTCATTGTTGAGTCTAGGGTTGGGTACCGAAACTTGGTACTTTTTGTACTTGGTACCGATTCACGTCGGTACTACCGAGTACCGATTCACTTAAAATGAAACAGTGCCAAATTTCGGTACCCAAGGTGGAGGCGGAGCGAGAGCGCATGACTCGCACCTCAGACTCAGCAACAATGGCGACAAAAACAATGTGCAGACAAAAGTTAACGTGCAGCATTGTTCCTAAATGTTCTCAATAAAATGTTGAAACTGAGAAGTTTAGACTATGGGCCCGAACGACACATAGTGCGTCCACATTCACACCCGTTCTTCTCTGTAGATTTTCTCTGCGACCATGCGTCCTAGCGAGAAGCCACATATCAACAGAAACAGCAGAATTGTAGCTTTCCGACAAGGCCAAGCACTTGTCGGTAATCCAATGTTTTCACAGCGAAAAATTACAATAAAATGATGTTTAACAGAGCTTTCATACAGCTTTGCACACACATTACTCTTGGATGGATTACTCACGAACGCAGGCTCACACAGAAATGCTACGCATATCACATGAAAGCGCAGGACCACACACATCACTGTGCTGTCATCCCATCACGCTCTAAATACAGATCAATTGTCTACGAGATAAAAACTTGACGAATTTCTTTACAATCCATTATACAGATCTTGTTATCAGTCACTTCATATAGTGAGGAATATCGTGTCTTACCACGTCTTAGGCTTGCGTGTGTTTCTCCCTGTCTATCCACATTTGTAGTCCAGCTTTCAAGATGTAAATATTTCCATATTGTCCACTTGACACTCCATCAAACTTTGTATGACAAGACCAGCCACTTCACCTTTGCGCACCCAGACAACTGAGGCCTAATTATGCATGCTGACAGGGCCGTAGTCACCATATACATTGAGGGGGACACGTGCCCCCCCCACGAATGCCCAAAATGTCTCCCCAATATATAACTGAAACTGAAAAACAAATATTATCTTGGAGGACATCATTGCACTTGGTTGACTATTTTTCTATGATCTTAGATGTAAATATTGCATGTTTCTTTCAGATAAAACACATTTTTGACTTGTGAATGAGTCAATGGAATTTCTTGCAATAATGAAAAAATACTGGCAATCATGTCCGCCTGGCACAAACCACATGTTTTAGACAACTGTGAAGTGACAGAATGTCCCAGCATCATGGTTCTTATATTGCCAGATTCCAGAGAGTCCCCCCTCTTCATATATGACAGAATATGTCAACTTCCAACTTGCTATGGTGAGATACATGTAAAAATGTAAGAATTTAGGCACACAGATTTGTTTTTTTTTCATTGATATAAAAATTAATATAAAATACAGGCACATAGAAGGACATGGAATGATGGCAAATCAGGATAGCCCAGATTGTCCTGAAAAAAAAAACAAGTTATAGCATGTGTATGTAGCCTTTATAATGACTGTGATATGAGCTTAAAAGTAAAGGCAGTAAAAATACCCCAAAAAAAGGCCTAGGGCCCACAGGATTAAAAAGTACCGAAATAAGGTACCGTTTGGTACCGGTACCGAATTCCAGATACCGGTACCAGTACCGTATCGGTTCAGTTATGAACGGTACCCAACCCTAGTTGAGTCCAAGTGGATGTTTGTGCCAAATTAGACAAAAATCCCTCAAGGTCTCCTTGAACTATTGTGTTCACATGGTTGAGATGGCCGAGGTAACAATGACTTTGAACTTTGACCTATGACCAATAAAATTTAATCAGTTCATTGCTGAGTCCAACTGAACATCTGTGCAAAATTGAAGTTTTCCCCAAGGCTTGAGATGTCACACTCACAAGAATGAAATGGAGGGACAGAAGGTTATATCAAGAAACTTTACATGTTATAATGAGATAGAAAGTCTAACAAAAAGACACTGTGGCTCACATTGAAATTGACATCGGTTCATTGGTATAAACATATTCGGATTTTCCATACCCTTGCATAGGATCAAAACCTCCTGCTTTAGATTTGAAATGACAGAACCAAAACACGTAAAACGCACCCGAGGAGGAGATCCTTGAATACAGGAGAGAGAATAGAGTTCAAATTCAAAAAAAGGTCACTCACTTTTTTCTTTTTCCTCAAGGCAACTTTCACGCCGTCTACCGACACCACAATGTTGACTTTTTTCTTCTTGATGTTTTTCACCTTGAACTCATACTGCAGAGAGAGGACAGAAAGAGATATATTAATATTTTGGGGGGATTAAGGTAGACAGTAATATTGTTGGAGCTTCTCAAATACTTGAAGATGGGTCAGTGTGTTCGATGAGTCATGTCTGGCTGCCCAAAAACACATTATATAACTGAGGGACAGTATCAGAACATGATGAAAAGAACTGTTCATTTTGTTCTCTGTGTTAAAGGGGTTTTAAACTGACAGATGACCAGAGCCAATGGAATGATTTCTTTCTGTTCCCATCAGATAGCGAGCTGTGACTGAATCATAAACACGGAGTTGATGCAGCCTGAGATTGAAAACACGACCACAGAAAATGACCTTCATAATCACCTTTGGATACAGACGACAGAATTTGAAAAATAGCTTCCATCTGAAAAAAACTGCCTTCCTGCCCATTTCACTGTCATGTAATACCACTTTTACATCTGATGGAATATCTCACTGGGATTTATTCTGGGTTAGTAGGTTATACATTTAGCTGTAGACAGGGTAATGTTTGTATATGCTGCATTCTGAATCTGACATATATTAAATTGTGGGTTATTGTAAGCAAATATGATTAATGGCCTTTATTAATCATTTGCACCTACTCTAGAATTTCATGTTATGTCCATCAAACTAGACATTTTAGCCTATTACATGCCGAAAATTATATGCGAGCTTTCTGTGCAGTTTTTGACAATCAGTGCTACGACACTATTTAGTCAACATTCAAAAAGTATTAAGGTTGAGTTAAGGTTGAAGAGTACTGAGGAACCGAGAAGAGACCATCCAAAGTTTGCTGGAACAACTGAATGACCATAAAACTCCTTTGAGCCAAGCACTTAACTGCCGACCAACTGCTTGAGTGAAGCTGCTTTGTGCTGGAGATAAACTTCACCACTCCAATCAAGTCAAGACATATTTAAAGGCGCTATATATGACATTCAAAGCATATCAAGAATTCAGAGTATTGATTCAGTAATTCAGAGTTACATAGCAAATGGCTGTTTGCTGCTATAATAAAAGGACAGTCCAATCTTTTGACATGAAGATGTATAAGGTACTTATCCATAGTCTTGTGTTATATAAATCAGATGTGTATTGGTACAGATTTCTGAAGCAGTCAGGAGTACCTATACAAAAGCTAAGCAATCTACTGTTGTGGACGGGGGCAGCAGCAAAACGTATTTTAGCAACCTGAAAAAAGTCAGTGATAGTTTAAGTGTACACTATGTTGAGAATATTTTCACTGCTTAACCTTGCCGCAGACAGTCCGTTCCGACTTGGAAGCCATAATGTCCTCAGTTCGCCTTCTATGTTCTCGTCAAAGCCACCAGACTTCATTAGGAAAAACAATACCTGTAGCTCGCAAAGCTGCTGCTCTACCACTGCCTTGATGAATGATGTTATGGGTATTTTATTGTAGCCTTTTTGGTGATTGTTTTTAACCAATGTAAAGCATCTATGAGTACCTGTAAAAGTTCAAATGTATTATTACTATTATTATTATTATTATTATTATTATTATTATTAGTTTGTTAGTTTGTATTATTGTGTAGCTTTGGAGAATCTGAACCCTATTTAAATCCACACAATTACACAAATGACCTAGCTGATCAAGGCAGCGGTAGACCAGGAGCTCAAATGTTCAGCGATATAAAATTACTGTTTGGACTCCAGCATTTAAGAGACCAAATTACAGCTTCAGATTAAATTAAAACGCTGTCTGACAACAAGGTAAAGTGGTAAAATATTCTAAATAAAGTGTACACTAAAACTGATAATAATTAGGCCTACTTTTAAGTGGAACCTTATTTAGGTGGCTAAAACACGTTTTGTTGCTGCCTCCTTCATTGCTTAGTTTCTGTGTCAGTAGTCTTGCCAGCTTTTGCAAACTGGGGAAGTGCCGACCAGCATTTACTGTATAAAACACATTTACTACGGATAAGTACCTCACACAACCCCACTTCAAAAGATCTGAACTATGGCCTTAATGCTTTGAATGCTGTATACAGCTCCTTTGAAAACTGAATGAGCTGTACTTCTTCCACACACTGCCATTTGAAAAAAATCATAACAGAGCAGGCATTCCCATACATCTCCAATTCACACTAATGACGAATAGATTTGTCACAGAAAATGACAAACAGCTCTGCTGAATGAACATAGCATGGTCGGCAGACCTCTTTCACAGTCAATTTACACACCATACGTCAGACTGAGACAGATTCCATCGTCTCTGCTACCTCTAATGGAGCTTTGAGCTCTGTCAAACAACAGCGCTGCAGCAGGCAACCACAGCCAATACAATGTGGAAACACAGTGTTTGCATATCAAATACATAGCAGGTGTAAAAAGGTGGATAAAGTGGCTTTTATGCTGAATCCTGTGTTAATAATTGAGTGCAAGGACACGTGCAAACATACTTGCTGGCTACCTCCCTCTCCCACAAGCCTCTGCATGTTGATGGTATTCTGAATGAGTCGGATGTAAATGACTTGTATAGAACCACCTGTCACGGTAGCCTGGAGAGTCATTAGCTCCAAGTGCCGTCTGTATGTCTATTTCTGTGTATCAGCACTCACACAGAGTTGGCAAGTTAGCATGTCCTGCTGGGTGATACATTATTGTGGACACTCATTTATGCTGCCCTAGCCAGCAGTTTTTATGCAGAAAAGCAACTGTGATATGAGTCAAAGTCATAAAGCATTCCACCCTGAGATGCTGCATGATTCACCTTGTTTGCTCAGATTAAATTGCGATCTCAGGTATTGATGCTCGTGGGAAATCTGCTCAGTGCAAGGAAGTGAGAAATCGAAACTTAAGACAGCAAGAAAACTGCAACAGCAGTGAGACAGTACTCTGCTCAGACAAGCTGACGTACTTCCCCACCTCTTGCAAACACTAAAAACATTTAGCTGACCAATGCCACCACAGGTTTTCAGTTTAATGAAGTTCTTTCAGCTTTGAAAAGTGACCTTGCATTATCACTTGGAGCTGCAAAATTGCCAACGTTTCTGGCAGCACCGGTGGCACAAAATCTGCAATGTCATACACTGCTGCTATAAAGAAAATGTCTGAGAGTGTTTATTGCTTGCTGTGTTTGCACTGCATCACCTCTGAATCAAATCTGAATAAAGATACTTTTTTTGAATGTTATCTGTCATGTTTTCCCACCTGCTTGCTGTCAATCAATCTGTTAATATTCTTGCTATTGTATCGGTCATTCGTCCTCTGTCAGTAGAATGTCCTTCACTCTGTTCTCTATAGTATCACTCTGGACTTAATACTGACTCAATATTTTTCAAATTAAGTTGCAAAAAAGGCTAAAGCAGTAAAGAAGGTTTATAAAAGCTTTACAGAAGCACTGTTCTTCAGTTATGAAGATAGTGAGCAGGTATCAATGACATAAAGAAAATAACTAATTTCTTTTTTATCTTTCATGTGAAAAGTGAACTCCAAGATTTTAACCTTGAACATTGCTTTCAGTTCATCATTGCTGAGACCTTAAAAGAAAACCTGATTTAATCACTCTTTTGTAAATTATTAAAAATATAAAAGCACCCAGCTGGTCAAAGCTAGCAAAGACATGCAGGGAAGGGTAGCTCAGATAAAACTTCAAAAGCTTAAAGGGATAGTGCATCCAAAAATGAAAATTCAGCCATTATCTACCATATGCCGAGGGAGGGTCAGGAGAAGTTTTAGAGTCCTCACATCATTTGCGGAGATCCAAGGGGAGAGTGGGTAGCAACACAACTCCACCTAATGGAGGCTTACGGCGCCCAAGATTCAAACGTCCAAAAACGCATAATTCAAACCACAAAATATCTCCATACTGCTCGTCCAATCCAAGTGTCCTGTCACGTGTGCGCGCTTGCACGAGACGGTGAGACATGGACACCGCGTTCATGTGTGTTCACATGCTTTCGCTGGTCTCGCACAAGCGCGCACATGTGAGCGTGGTGCACAGAGAGGCAGTTACTGTAGAGCTACAGGCTACAATGAGGCTAAAAACAGAGTTCAAATGACGTTTTTCCAAACAACTTTTTATGTTGGGGCTTCAGGACACCTGGATCACTACGGATGAGCAGTATGGAGATATTTTATGGTTTCAATTATGTGTGGAGTTTTGTTGCTACCTCCTCTCCCCTAGGATCTCCACAAGTGATGTGAGGACTCTAAAACTTCACCTGAGCCTCCCTCGGCATATGGGTGAGTAGATAATGGCTGAATATTCATTTATGGGTGCACTATCCCTTTAAGGTGATATAATCCAATGACCAAGGCCAACACAAAATCCAACACAAATTAAGCATCATTGTTCAAAGACATTATATTTTCTAGTATGCACTCGCTAAAAATGTTTTAGCATGTAAACAATGTCATTAAAAAGGAGCTAAATACAAAATTCAGAGCATTAATATAGCAAAATAAACTAATACTTGCTATGTAACGATATAGTGGGGTGATGGCATCCTGAGCAGAGAACAAGGCTAGCTAATCACCGCCACTCTATACTGCGCTCAAACGACAGCTACCCTGTCCCAACCCACTCTTACACACTGTCCACGAGACTCAGGCAGTTGAAACTTCTCACATGCTCTTATGCCATGTGTAATTTTTTCACCTAGTGAAAAACAAATTTATTTGATAACCTCGGTGCAAAATGAGAACATTGCCAGCACACTGCCAGACATGACAGAGCAGCACACAGCAGCATGTAAAACACTGCGATCAGGCCAGCCTCCTCTTGGATTTTGATGGGGGTCTGTTAATGTTGTTACTGTTTCACTCCCTGGAGTCTTGATGAATATGTCAAGTCACCAAACAAGTCCTAATATGACAAAAGTGTTTTCATATTAGCCTAGTTTTGTTTGCTAGGAATTTTTTATGCAACCCTGTTCAAGATAACCCTGACCATGTACAATTATTTTACTGAGTTTTTGATAAAATCGAAGGGAAATGAAGCTCAATTTACAATAAAACATTCATAATTT